AGAAGAAGGGCCTTCTCCATGGTGGCTCCCTCTCTCTGGAACTTCATTCTCCCAGACATTAGAATCGCCCCTCTAATACTCTTCCAGAAGGCACTGAAAACCTAGTTCTGCCAGCGGGCCTGGGGAACTCCTCAAATGCTTGTGTGATCTGCTGTCATTGGGGTGAGGGGTGGGAGTTGGGGGGTGATTTTTTATTTATTTTTTTCCAGATTTTGTTCTATTGTACTTTATTGATTTGATTCATTGTCAGTTTCTATTATTTTTAATTTTATTTTTTTGTTTTAAATATGGTTTTACATTGTGTAAGCCACCTCGAGTCGCCTTGGACGAACAGGCGGCAATGTAAATTAAATAAAATAAAATAAATTATGTGCTCCACATTTACTACCATGTATTTTATGCCATATGCCAGCTAAGCAGCTTAAATAAATAAATGCTAGCCACGTGCTAGCTAATTAGGATGGATGGATAGATGGATGGATGGATGGATGGATGGATAATTAGATGTGTATATGACAGAGATGATAGAGACAAACAAATTAAATAGATGTCTGTCTGAGAGAGATGTTAGATGGATGGATAGTTGGATGGATAATTAGATGTGTGTGTAATAAATGATATAGACAGACAAATAGATACATGTGCGAGAGATGGATAGGATGGATAGGATAGATGGATAGGATAGGATAAAGATAGCATAAGGGTGGGATAAGGATGGGATAAGGATAGGATAGATATGATAAATGATGGATGGATAATTAGATGTGTGTGTGACATAGATGACACAGACAGGCAAATTGAATAGATTTGTGTGTGAGGGAGATGATAGGTAGTTAGGTGAGTAGGTAGGTAGATAGATAGGTTGATAATACAGTACATAGACAGACAATAGATAGATAATAGATAGATATAGATAGATGATACATAGATGATAGACAGATGATAGAAAGAATAGATAATAGTTAAGTCAGATAGATGATAGATATATAGATGATACATAGGTGATAGATGATAGACTATAGATAATAGATAGTTAGACAGATGATAGATAGACATATAGATGATACATAGATGATAGACAGATGATAGATAGACTATAGATAATAGATGATAGATAGACATGTAGATGATACATAGATGATAAACAGATAATAGACTATAGATAATAGATAGATGATAGATACATATAGATGATACATAGATGATAGACAGATGATAGATAGACTATAGATAATAGATAGATGATAGACAGATAGATGATAAATAGGTGGTAGAATAGATGGATAGATGTGTGTGAGAGAAATGATAGATGGAGATAGACAGACACAGCTAACAGGCTGACTGGACGGATGCTTGAAAGTCCAATCAGAACAAAGGAAAAAAATTTCCCTTCATCTAAAAAAAAAGAACTCTTACTGCCCCCCCGTGCCCCCCCCCGCTTGGGACTCCAGAAGCCGTACCCGTCTCAGCCTCCGTCCCATCAGCTTCCCGCGTTTGTCGTCCGCCAGATAGAAAGTGACGGAGGGGGCCATTTCTGCCAGCTGCCGCAGGACGTTCTTGGTGGCCGGAAAGACAGTCACCTGACGGAGGAAGTCAAGGGGGGGGGGGGGGGCAATTACAAAAGGCCTCTCCGGAAGAATCCTGCCAAGCACGACACCCACTCTACCCACCCACCCCGTTTCCTCCCTTCCCAGAGGTGGCTTCAGCCGGTCCTGACCGGTTCTGGAGAACCAGTAGGGGACGTTTGGAGTGGTTTGGAGAACCGGCCGATCCCGCCTCTGACCGGCCCAGCCAACCCCATATCTCTTCTCCGCCTCTCATCGAGTCCCAGCTGATCGGCTGGGTCTCCTTGGGTTGCCCTGCCCAGGAGAACGGAGCTGGAAAGCAGGTTATGGGGAGGGAAGGGGGATTTCGCAGTATACCCTTCCCCTGCCACGCCCACCAAGCCACGCCCACAGAACCAGCAGTAAAAGAAAAACAAAACTGAATCCCAAAGCTGCAGCAAGCGGGGCGGGGCACCTTGTACTCGTCGTCGATCAGCAGCAGCACTTTGGCGTAATCCTGGTCCATGATGGGAAGCAGGATGGATTGCAGGATGGGGCGGCTCAGCCCCGGAGGAGTCACCTGGCTCCACTTGCCGAAGATGGGGTTGAAGACGTAGAGTTTGCTGAGGCCTGACTCCTGGGGGGGGGGGGGGGGGGGGGGGGGGGGGGGAGAGACAGAGTAGGCAGGGGTTGAGTGGGCGCTAAAGCACCGTAGGGCCAGTGGTCCTCAACCTTTCCTTCCCCCACTGTCCGCCCTTAAATATCTTTTGGGCCCAGGGACCCTCAAGACCTGGCCCAAGATTTTAATCCTGACGGGGTTTTCTTCAAAGCTTTTATGGACCACCCACCCACCCAGGACAGGGGTCGGCAACCCTAAACACTCAGAGCCACTTGGACCCGTTTTCCACAGGGAACAAAAAAAAACCTGGGAGCCACAAAAGTCCTAACCGGAAGTCCCCCTGTTCAATTCTGGAGCCGACCGGAAGTCCGGTTTGTGCACCGTAGGGTCTCCTCCTAGCACCGCATCCGTTTTTCCTCTACCTGCCCTAACCAAAAGCCCTATCAAGTGCGGAGCCGAGTGGAAAACCTGCCCCCTGCCCTAGAATCTCCTCCTGGTGCATTGTGCAAGTTTGCCCCCCCCCCCCAAAAAAGCTGGAAGTTCCTCTCAAAATCGTGGTGCCGACCGATGACAGGGAGCTGCAGCCGAGGGATGAAAGAGCCACATGCGGCTCTAGAGCTGCAGATTGCTGATTCCTGCCCTAGGGACCTGGGGTTGAGAACCACCGCCCTAGATCAAAGAAGGCTCCTCCCCTTGTGTTCCTCCCCGCAAGGACCTTCGGCCTTCCTCTCCCGCCCTGTCTCTTCAACAATAGCCATAGCTATATATACCGCTTTATAGTGCTTTTTCAGCCCCCTCTAAGCGCTTTACGGAGTCAGCCTCTTGCCCCCAACAACTCATTTGACCCTCCTCGGAAGGACGGAAGGCTGAAGTCAACCTGGAGTCTGGTGAGAACCGAACTGCCAAATTGCAGGCAGCCGGCAGGCAGGCAGAAGTAGCCCTGCAGTACCGCACTCTCACCACTGCGCCACCGTGGCTCGTTTCTTCTTCTACTCGGGAGAAAAGAGGGGGAGGGGAGGCACCCACCTTGTCCTTGACCAACAGGGTGCATTGTGGCGGGTGGGGGAAATGCGCCGTCGTCCTCTGGACCATCAGCTTAAAGGAAGAGCCGGGACGCACGTCCTGGAGGAACTGCTTCCATAGGATGGTGCCCGAGCTGCTCTCTATGCCGAAAAGCTGGGAAGGAGGGAGGAAAAATCTCCGAATTAAGCGGTTCTTAGGAGACACTCTGGATAGTGGAAGCGTCTTGTCTGGCCTCAGGAGGGAAGAGGATGAGGAGGAAAGAGGAGGGAACGATGAAGACACCCTCGCGTTGGACTCTGCCTGACGGGCTGAAGGTTTCTGCTCCCGGCAACCCGGTTTGAGGCC